AATACCAACAACTGTTTATATTGTTTTTGCTTTCTCATTTTCTTTCTTAGTAGTTGTGTTAATACAAACAAAACCTTAATCTGCCTCAACCTGTCAACAATTGTGTTTCCTAAGGTAACTTTAGACTTCCTTTAGAACTATAATAATGAGAGAAAATTCTGATTAAAGTGGAAGGAGATTTAGAAAAACAAAAACTATTTATTCAGCAAATTGAACAGAATAATGGCCATCTCTCTTCATTTAATTTTCCCCCAAGTTTTAGAGCCTAGGTTCCCTAAGAGCTATCCAGCTGAAGAAAGTGGGAATAGTATCATACAATATTTCTTCCTCAACAAAAATAGAAGACAGCCTGAGCAACATGGCGAAACCCCATCTCTATAAAAAATACAAAACTTAGCTAGGCATGGTGGCGTGTGCCTGTAGTCCCAGCTACCAGGGAAACTGAGGTGGGAGTATTGCTTGAGTTCAGGAGGTCAAGGCTGCAGTGAGCCATGATCACACCACTGTACTCCAGCCTGGGTGACAGAATGAGATGGTATCTCAAAAAAAAAAAAAGAAAAAGAAAGAGAGAGAGAAAGAAAACAAAAGAATAAAAGAGAAAATGTCCAAAATCAGGTTAAGTAAATAAAAGAATTCATAAGGCAAAACAATATTGGCATACTAAAGAGACTAAGAAGTTTGTTAATTTAATACCATGGCTAAAGACAGCAAATGTCAGCAGCAGAATATAAAAATAAATAAATAAAAATAAAAAAAGACTACAAATGTGCTACAACTAAGTAGTCAATGTTCACGTCCTACCTCCTTTTCCACCACAAAGTCTGGGTTCCAAACTATAAACAGCTCCATGCTGCACTGTGTCACTGCTGTTAATGAGTGCTCCATTGCATTTCACAAAGAAGTTTTCCACTGGAACATCCTAGAGACAAATTTGGTTTTTTAATGCCTTCGATGAGATAATAATCTAAGTTTGTTACAAGGCGGGACCTAGCTGTCTTTTTATTACTCTGGTTACAACAGTGGGTGTTCAATTAATATTTGTTGAATTGGAAATGTAAACTACTAGGAGAAAAAGTCATTTCACATGATGCATTTTGGGTATAAATTTTTCCCAATATTACCTAATTATCACACATAGAAGAAACTTCAGTCTTTTCGGTGAAAACAAAAACTGCTTCTTCTTTGATAGGTAATCTAAGTCAAGGTAGAAGACTATGCAGGACTCAGATTAAATAACTGTGGAGGTCCCATTTTCTGACTTTCTTAAACAGGTAAAACTAAATTGAACATCAAAAGTAGTCCTCAATCCTAAAAAGTACAGGTAGGAATAAGAAGTAGAGAAGGAAGGAGTCAAGAGTATGGTTTTTAATAAACCAATATAAATACACCATGGGAGACATAAAAACATGAAAAATGAGCAAAAATGTGCAAAGTTGTTGAAGATGCTGGGCAGCCCCTGATTCTGTGGAGCTGCCCCAAAGGCTACATGAATCAATACTCTCAGCAGTCCTGTAACCCAGTAAAAGCCCACTCTGGACCAAGGAAATACAGAATTACCAACCAGTACCAGGCTGGTGGATGTATGGAGACTGAGCTATGTGATTATAGTTCTCTACCACAGTTACTGCCCAGCCAGGGCAGAACAGGTGGAGAGTTGGATTTATGTTATCTGGGGTTTTCCTAGGCAAATATAACGGTGGGAGAGAAGAGCACGGGAGCTCAGCTCAGGCTATTTGCAATGAGGTAACATGAAGGACTATTCTTGTCTTTAAAATACTGTATACTTTAACTGTTGTAAACATTAAATGAGATAAGTAATACATTTTGTATCTATTTAATGTTTATACATTAGAAGCCTTCTGTATGTCTAATGGGTAGGTATTTCTAAATAATTTTAAAAGATATTAATATGAAGGCAGAAAGTATACACCAAGGAAATTATGTACACTTCATTTTCAAACAGAATGGCTTATTAAACAAAACAACTGATCAATAAAATTGCATTTTCTACGTAAGATTCTTGTCAATGATGTCACGAGCAGAAAAAAGGATACAACATTTAGACTCAATTTAACTGTTTTTAACCATTTGTGCATTGTAAAGTGCTTCAAACACAAATTACCATGTGTGTTTTAGCACAATCAGCCTATGGCTATCAGAGATAAACCTGTCAAACTTATTCACTGCAACGAGGGTAACTGCACACCAGGAGTCATGGGTATCTCACCAACACAAAGAAAGGAGTGTCATTACAAGATTTGGGGCTAGGGTGGGGTTGAGGTGAAATTTACGTCAAGCAGTGTTTAAACACGTTCAAAATAAAACAGGACTGTATATAAAAACATCAACATCAGCTCTGGATTGTGAAGGCTCCTCTTTCCTTGGAAACTACAAATTTAAGATAAATGTGGAAAGTTGTGTCCAGAAACCCTTAATGGGAAGCTCTGTCCTGGGTTGGAAATCAAGAATGCTTCTCTACAGGGCAAGAGTGGGAGGGTTCACTCTTATCGAGAGAACTTCAAACAGCAAAATTCCTTAGATATTATTTGGTTTTTGAGACGGAGGCTTCTCAGTGAATAAGAAAGTAGCAGACCTTCATGGGGGGTCATTATGACATTATGACATATCACCATTTCCTGTTACCTCTGTAGCTGTATATCGGTGTAGTGTGGGGGTCACAAAAACAAACATAAATTTTGCAGCTGGCTTTATTTGTGTCTGTTATCCCAGCCTGATGAAAAGCAGGGCAGATTTTTATTTTCTCAGTGGGAGTTAACACTAACTTCATCATGTGTCAGAACAGTTTTGTTTTTAAAAACATAGGTGTGAACTCGAGCTATTCTTATTTGTTCCAGTATCTCATCAAATACTCTTTTGTGTTTCTATTCATATTTGCTATGGTCATGTTTCTTAAGTTTCTGACTGAATCCACTCATTTATATTTCTTTTTTTTTTTGAGACCGAGTCTATCTTTGTCACCCAGTTTGGAGTGCAATGGCTCAATCTCGGCTCACTGCAACCTCCACTTCTCAGGTTCAAATCATTCTCCTGCTTCAGCCTCCCGAGTAGCTGGGATTACAGGCGCCTGCCGCCACGCCTAGCCAATTTTTGTGTATTTTTAGGAGAGATGGAGTTTCACCATGTTGGCCAAGCTGGTCTCGAACTTCTGACCTCAGGTGATCTGCCCGCCTCGACCTCCCTAAGTGTTGGGATTACAGGCGTGAGCCACTGCACCTGGCCTATTATTTCTTGCTTCCGATTTAAAAATAATTATTTCCAACATACCTCATGATTAAGATCCTATTTTTTCTGGTTTCACTTTGGATCAATTGTCAGCAAGTTTGAAAACTGTACTCATAGGCCCGAAAGAGTGGCTCAAGCCTGTAATCCCAGAACTTTGGGAGGCTGAGGTGGGAGGATCACCCGAGGTCAGGAGTTCAAGACCTGGCCAACGTGGTGAAACTCTGTTCCTACTAAAAATACAAAAATTAGCCAGGCATGGTGGCGGGCGCCTGGTAATCCCAGCTACTTGGGAGGCCGAGGCAGGAGAATCGCTTGAACTCAGGAGGCGGAGGTTGCAGTGGCCGAGATGGCGCCATTGCACTCCAGCTTGGGCAACAGGCTCAGGGAATCTGAAGGAGTCCCTTAATATTTAATAGGCTGAGATTATGGTATTTCTAAAACCCTGAACAATTCAAAAGCCACCAGTGTGAAGATAGGAAGGTTATTAGGAGATATCTGTGCCTCCTAAATGCAAATGCATCGGCCCACAGAATGGATTACAGAGCAGGAAGGAAAACATGGAAAGTGAAAAACCGTATTATTTGCAAACACACATTGCTTCTTCACGGAATCGATCCAAGTCTCTTAAAAATCTGGTTTAGACTGCAGCGTTAACATTTGTTAAGCTTATAAATAGTAAGCAGAGGAAATAGCCGAGGAAAGCACGGATGAGGTGCGGAAAGAACAGAGTTCTAGATCAAGTGCCAACATTAAAATTAGATTCAGGGAAACCACTAAATTCTTTTGACAACTGAATAGGTTCAATATCTTATTGCTGGTAAAAGCTTACTTACTTGAAAGTTAAGTAAAAGCTCACGTGTAACTTGGGAAGTCCCTGGTAGGTTTCCGCAAATGTGCATGGACAAGTAAGACCATCAAATGATTAGTGAACACTTCTACATAACAGGCCCTAAGAACCCAGGCTCTCAACAGGACACACGTGTGAATGCTTGGTCACAACGAGTGATCAGAAGAATCAATTTTCCTCCCCAATCATCCTTTGGCCTGGGTTCGGATATGACATACTTCTCCAGGCTGGGGCTTAACAAGGCTGTGTGATAACTGAACAAAATACACGTCACATAACCACAGTAAGAAGGTGAAGACTGTAGCCTTAAAAATATTTGCTATGGTCATGTTTCTTAAGTTTCTGACTGAATCCACTCATTTATATTTCTATATCTTTTTTCTACGTAAGATTCTTGTCAATGATGTCACGAGCAGAAAAAAGGATACAACATTTAGACTCAATTTAACTGTTTTTAACCATTTGTGCATTGAGAAAAGGAAGCTCTCAGTAACAGTTCGAAGCACCTTAACACTGAGGAACTCTCAGCCTCAACAAGTGAAAACCCCAGAGAATAGAGGTACCCGCCCCTCCTCCTCCGGACAGACCTACTCCGCACCCAGCGCTGCCACCTGTCTGCCTCTTTCTCCTTCCTAACAGGAACCGAAATCCTCACCTGATCTTGGCAGTGCCGGTGGATAAAATCACGGACGGTGCACCGAGCCGAGGCACACCGCACCGCCTTGCACCCGAAGCCGGGGCCGCGAATCCACACCAGCCCAGCGCCTTCCGCCATATCACCAACTCCCCGAACCTCTACCCTCCCTGAGACACCAGGCGCCGCAACTCGCCCGGCGCATCTTGATGACGCGAGCGTCTCCCAGCGCCCCGCCCCTCACGCTTCCATTCGCTCCTCCCCTCCCCTGGGGCTGGTCAAGTGAGCCGGGCGGCCGGGCGGCGCGGGCTGGGGGAAGGGAACAGGAAAGGCCTGGCGGAGGCCGATAAGGCCGCAGAGCACTGGGCGAGGCGTTGCCAGGAGAAGTTGCTAGGGCGGGGCTCGAGGGACCGGCTATAAAAGGTTGGTGCTGGGTTAGGTTTCGAGCTTCCTGGCCATAAGCGATAAGGCTGTAACTAAGGACCGCCCTGTGCCGTAGGCTTTGGCCCTTTTCCTCACATCTGTGTAGTTATTTTTGGGTCGCGGAGAATTGTGGCCCAAGAAAGCTCTGCTCCTTGGGAGTGTGGGGAGAGAAGCTGCAGTCCCGGAAGCGGTTTTAGGGGGCCGCTTCCTTGGCCTGGAGGAGCCCCCCAACCCGAGGGGACCAGGAAACGACCCCCAGGAGGCCCCCAAACAGTGGCCCGCGTGGTTTCTCCTCCAGGTTTACAGAGCGTTCTCTTCCCCTCCAGAAACAGCCAACCTCCGGGTTTCTGCCTGCCACGCACGGTTTATTCTTATTTCCGCCTGTTTGTGCTCTGCGTTATCTCCACTTAAGCTCTGTTTTCAAAATATTTCACAGCAAGTGGGCTCTTGTGAAAGGCAGTGACAGGAGTGACGTTTATAGTCATGCTGCTTCAAAAAACCCTACCATAACTTTTATTCTGCACCATGGAAACACACTCGGACAGATTTGCATAATGTAACTTTAAGGCTCAGGGAATCTGAAGGAGTCCCTTAATATTTAATAGGCTGAGATTATGGTATTTCTAAAACCCTGAACAATTCAAAAGCCACCAGTGTGAAGATAGGAAGGTTATTAGGAGATATCTGTGCCTCCTAAATGCAAATGCATCGGCCCACAGAATTGCCTTCTCTGCTGTTAAAATGCTTGGCAAATGAAACTCCTAGCTGAGTGGGTAACAAGAAAAAATTCAGAAATCGTTTAGAGGTGGCAGTATGTGCGAAAATGGAATTTCAAGGCCTGGGAAGTTAATAGATTCAGTAGTCTTTATTTCACACACGAGGGAAAGTTGGGGAGAGAAAGGGCCTCCATGGGGATGCCAGTAGATAAAGAAAAATTACAAAAAAAATAAAAATAAAGATAGATTGTACCGGCCAGGCGTGGTGGCTCATGCCTGTAATCCAGCACTTTGGGAGCCTGAGGCGGGCAGATCTCTTGTTCAGGAGTTCGAGACCAGCCTGACCAATATGTTGACACCCCATCTCTACTAAAAATACAATAATTAACCGGGTGTGGTGGCGCGTGCCTGTAATCCCAGCTATTCGGGAGGCAGAGGTTGCAGTGAGCTGAGATCGCGCCACTGCACTCCAGCCTGGGCAACAGAGCAAGACTTGTTTCACAAAAAAAAAAAAAAAAAAAAAAAAAAAAGATATATTGTACCTAGGAAGCAGTATTTTGGAAAGGTGGTGCCATGGCAACCCTGGGGCGTGAAGGTGTCGCCAGGTACTTGTAAGCCATCCACACTCCAGAAACCTCAAGTTCCTCTGCAGTTTCCTCCCCAGCTGTCTGTCCTCCGGGTTCCTGAAAAAGCAATCTACAGATCTGAGCCTTAAGCTGCTTCTTTTTTTTTATTTGTGATTTCTTCCTTCTGGGGATCAAAAATGACTATTTCAAATAAATAAATAATTTTTTTAAATGACTATTTCAAAGGTCTGAGATCCTACAAGTAACTGTGTAAAGATCAGTTTGGGTTTCCATAACATTTCTGTATCAGGATAATGCTTTGTATCTTGTAAGGAATGATTATGATTAGTCTTTTTTTTCTTTCTTTCTCTTTTGAGACCCTTGCTCTGCCACCTGGGCTGGAGTGTAGTGGCGCAATCATAGCACACACAGCCTTGAACTCCTGGGCTCAAGTGATCCGCTACAGCCTCCAGAGTAGTTGGAACTACAGGTGCATGCCACCACACCTGACTAATTTTTAAATTTTTTGTAGAGATGGGTTTTTCACTAAGTTGCCCAGGCTGGTCTTGAACTCTTGGGCTCAAGAGATCCTCCCGCCTCACCCTCCCAAAGTGCTGGGATTACAGGCGTGGCCTGCTGCGCCTGGCATAAGTAGTACTTTCCAGTAAGGAAACTCCACATCATTTATTACTACTAACATTATATATGGTCCTCATAAAACCTGATGTCTGAATGGAATTTTTCACTTTTTATCCCTCTTTGCATTTAAATTTATGTTAAAGAGTCCCAAGTATTGAATAGGTATTTGTCATTTAAAATATGAAATAACTATTGATATTAGCTTTTTAAAGATACAAATTTCCAAGCAATATATAATTTGTTCTTAAAACTTCAAAATGGGCCTGTAGTACCATGACATGTACAGAGTAGACATTAAGTAAATATTAGTTGGATACTTGATGGATTACTAAGGTAGTAAGTTAATTATCCTCAATGTACATATGATGAAGTATATTTTGCACTAATGTGGCACAATCTGTTCTAAGGATGCAGAATTTAACTTGGATTGCTATTAAATTCCTTTAAAGAATGGGGAAATTGAAGCATGTAAAGTTAGGGCCTTGGCCAAGAACACAGTGCACATCAGTGAAAAAACAAAATCTGGAAAGACAGCTATTAGCTGGGTTGCTAAGGGTGTGTGGTAGCGTCCAGTTGACAGTGCTATGTGGCGGGGCTGGTCAGTGATTATGGAAAAGAGCCAGCTGCTGCTACCTTTCCCACCTCGTGATGTCAGGTAGGGAAGGCACAGGAAGGCACGTGTATGGTTGTAACAACTAAATGGTGAGTGGCGGAGGGGCCAGTTCCTCTATTGTCTACATAGTGTGGCCATGCTCCTAGGACTATATTTGGTGTGCTTTCCAGTAAACCACACTGGCTTTGTTCCTGCCTATGTTCTCCAGAAGAATGCTCTGGCCACACATTTGCCTTTTGAGGACTGGTTCTGCTGCTGTGAGAGGGACACTGTGAGGGCATCTTGAGGCAATGTGGAATAATTGTTCACTGCCAGGAAATGACGGCATCAGACAGACAATGTTTGTGTGGCAACCCATGACAGGGGCTCAGTTGAGCCAAATGTCATGCTGGTCTGCAAGAACAGGAAGCAGAACTGTATGCTGGCAATTTCCATAAACAGCAGCCACACTCCTAAACTAGTGAATCTATATCCATGTGTGACATACAAGTCGCACTTCTGTGTTTTCAGCCATGTTTGTGTGCAGAGAGGAAAGGTGGTTGCTAATACCTTATTTATGACAAAAGATAATGGGACAGGCTGACTCCTGTGCCAGAAACACAAAACTGCCATAAACTCCCAAACTGGCAAGTGTCGCCTTATAGATGGCTCCAGCCCCAGGGACAATGAGGTCAGCTCCTAGGATGGAAAAACAGCATCTGGATGAGAGCTGTGTAGTCCACAGCAGGTGGTGGATAGTGTGGGAGGTGGAGCCTGAAGCAAGCCCCAAGATGCCGGCTGCCAGGGAAGGCACAGCTCCGCCCTCCTTCCTTATTGGATGGAAGAAAACAGGACAATGGTGAGGTGGAGTTCAGAGGCAGAGAAGGGTTGTGTTCAGCACTGACACTGGAAAGGACCATGAGAGGGCAGAAAAGAACACTAGGGTAGAGGTGCAGAGCAGAGATAAAAAGCTGGCCTCACAGTCAGTGCTGAGTATAGAAGCCCACCTCTTTGTAGTATCAGCAAGACAAAAGGACCGTCCTTCAGAGTGGACTTCCACCAATAAATTCTATCACTCCCAGTTGCTCTAGATATTACCTTGCTTGCATCATCATGACAACACTAGCTTATGAAGTCCTACTGGTTATCATTACTCTTATCATCACCATCAAACAATGTTTCATTAAAAAAATAATTTCTATATTATTCACTGTACTAAAACTATAAAGCAAAACTAGCATAGTGCCTATCTTCCAGAAATTTAGTATTTCAGTACTAGAAATTTTTTCAACATTGAACTTGATTTCTCTCTGGTCAATAAAATCCATGATCCTGTTTGAATTCTGTATAGCCAAGCATTTCAAAAGGGGATTTTCTTGCTGGAGAAGCCTTTGGGGGTAGTTTAATTAGTTGACATTAGTGTAATGTCAGTCTATTAGGGTTTTCCAGAGAAACAGAACCAATAGGATGAATGGATGGATGAATAGACAGATAGATCAATAAATACATAGATAGATAATAAGGAATTGGCTCACATGATTATGGAGGCTGACAAGTCCCGAGATCTGCGGGGTGAGTTGGCAAGTTGGAGACCCAGGAGAGCTAATGGTGTAGTTCCCACAAGAAGGCCAGCAGACTGGAAAACTAAGAAAGAGTCTATGTTTTAGTTCAAGTCCTCAAGTCCAAAGGCAGGAAAAAGCTGATGTCTCAGTTTAAAAGGAGTCAGGTAGGAGAAGTTCTCCTTTACTGGGGGAAGTGTCAACCATTTTGTTCTATTCAGGCCTTCAACTGATTGGATGAGGTCCACCTACATTAGGGGAAGCAACCTGCCTTACTCAGTCTACTGATTCAAATGTTAACCTCATCCAAGAACACCCCACAGGAACACCCAGAATCATGTTAGACCAAACATCTGGGCACCTGATGGCCCAAGCAAGTTGACGTAAAATTAATCATCATATCCACTAACTGAGTATATTTGATAAATAAATAACTTTTGGCTGGGCACGGTGGCTCACGTCTGTAATCCCAGCACTTTGGGAGGCTGAGGTGGGCAGATCACTTGAGGTCAAGAGTTCGAGTCTGGCCAACATGGTGAAACCCCCTCTACTAAAAGTACAAAAATTAGCCAGGCATGGAGGTGCATGCCCGTAGTCCCAGCTACTCAGGAGGTTGAGGCACAAGAATTGCTTCAACCTGGGAGGCAGAGGTTGCAGTGAGCCGAGATTGCACCACTGCACTCCAGCCTGGGCAATAGAATGAGACTGTGTCTCAAATAAATAAATATCTTTCATTATTTTATTTAAATTTAGCTGTGCAACCAAAGAGGAAATGTTATTTTGAAAATAGAGAGGGACTGACTAAAAATCAAATGCCTCTTATTCCCCAGATGTTTTGCTGTGTGAACTCAGGAAGCTCATCTGACTATTTTACACATTTGTTTCTGAATGGTTGAAGAAGAGTTATGACTATGACTATTGGTAGAAT